AAACAATTTTGAAAAAGAACAAAATTGAGATTCACACTGATGAAGACTTATTTTAAAGCTACAGTGGTGAAGACAGTATGATATTGTTGAAAAGTCAGACACACAGATGAATAGAACAGAAGAGAGAGTCTGGAAATAGACCCACAAAAACATAGCCAATTTATTTTTCTCAAAGATATAAAGGTCAGAAAAGACAGTATTTTTAATACATGGTGTTAAAACAACTAAATAGTCAAGTGCAAAAACAATACATCTTGACTCCCTACCTCACACCCTATACCAAAGTTAACAAAAAGCAGATCACAGACATCAATGTAAAAAGTAAACCTTTTGAAGAAAACACAAAGAAAAATTTTTGCAACCTTAGGTGAGGCGATGAGTTCGTAGATGTGGCACCAAAATCATAATCTATGAAAAAAATTGATAACTTGGGCTTCATCAAAATTAAATATTCTCTGCCACATCCTATCAAGAGACTGTAAAGACAAGACACAATGAAGAGAAAACACTTCTAAGTCATACACATGACAAGACATGTGTCCAGAATACATAAAGAACTCTCTAAGCTGAACAGTAAAAAGGCAAATAAATGGATGCTTTTAAATGGGCAAAAGATCTGAAAGACCATTTACCAAAGATGATACACGGACAGCAAATAAACACATGGAAACTCGACATCATTAGTCATAGGAAAATGCAAATTAAAACCATAGCAAGATTCCAGCATTAAAGTGACTTGGAAGAACATACCAAGTGCAACACTAAGGACACTGGGCAGCTGAAAGTCTCACTCACTGCAGGGGGGCAGGTGTGGGGAGGGAGTGCGGGGGTGGTGCTCCAGGGTAGACCCTTCAGAAAACAGTTCTTATAAAGTTAAACACACACATACTATAAGGTGCGCAATCACACTCAGGCAACTCATCCAAATAAAGAGAAGGCCTGTGTTCACAGAAAAACCTATACAGGAATGCCTGTTGCAGTTCCACCCATAAACACCCAAATCTGCAAACAACCTAAATATCCCTCAGCAGTTGAATGCACACATGGGAACGCAAGACGCTCAGGACAGAATGCTGAATGTATTCTTCTATTTGCACCAGGTTCTGAGAAAGGTCCTGGAGAGGGCTGCAGGGATGGAGAATACTGGGTAGGGAGGGGCTGAGAGGGTGGTCTGACGACAGACAGCAGCTGCACAAGGGAAATCTCTGGGGATGAATATCACCATTATGGTGGGTGTCACAGCCCACTGAACGCCCCTGCAGTTACCCTTCATGGGAGCTCTAGCCAGAGTGGAGCAGCCAATGGCACCCTGACCCGAGACAGGCCAGGTTGGGTGCTCCGGTGAGCACATTTCTATGCCTGCACTCAGCACAAAAGCCCTGCAGCCCACTTAAAAAATAAAGGAAAAGCCTCACAGCTCTGATACATGCAGGGAGCCACAGCCTGGTCAAGAGGCACAGGGGTACGTTCAGAAACTCTTCCACCTCCTCCCTTCCTTGTGGCCCTCTCACCCCCACCACCACTCCATCGCCCCCCACTCAGCACCTGGGCCAAGATGTGCACCCGGGGCAACCTCTGGGTGGGAACCCATCAGTCTTGGCTTTCTCTGGGTAGAGCTGAGGGCTTGACATGCAAGAGCCTGAAGAACTCAGAACAAAACATGGGTTCAGAATCATTTCTACAGCTTGTTACCAGAAACATTTCTCTGAGTATGCAGACCACCTCAACATAAATAAATTAAAAAAGAAGTGCCGGGTCCAGCCCAGCCCCAGAAGGCACCAGAACAAGCCCCGGCGGCTCCAATTCCTGGTTTCTTCGTGTTAAAACAACAGACATTGGCACGGGCGCCCTGAGGCCTGTGCCAGCTCAGAGTTTTTGTTGTTGTTGTTTTTTGGGGTTTTTTTTGAGTTGGAGTCTCACTCTGTCACCCAGACTGGAGTGCAGTGGCCGCTCCTGGCCACCGCAGCCTCAACCTGCTGGGGATCAGCGATCCTTCTGCCTCAGCCTTCCTTGTAGCCAGAACTACAGATGCACGCTACCATGGCTGGCTATTTTTTATTTTATTGCAGAGATGAGGTCTTGCCAAGTTGCCCAGGTTGGTCTCGAACCCGCAGGCTCAGGCAATTCACTCGCCTCGGCCTCCCAAAGTGCTGGGATGACAGGCTGAGTCACCGAGCCTGGCCAGCTAAGAATTTTTATGACTTAATAAGCCCGATCATAAACTCTCCTTTCTCCAGTTATAGCCAAGGTTGAAGAGTGGAAGTAGAAGCGGGGACTTGTGGTTGTTGCTGATTTGCTTGTTCTGCTGTTTGGGAATATTTTCCAACTTCAAAAAGAGTTGTAACTCCAAACTTTGAGAACCTCTGCCCTGGAAATGCTTGAAGAATGCTCACCATTTAACCTACCAAAGTAAACTTCGAGAAACTTCTGTGGGCCACCAAGGACAACAGGGACGTGAGCCAGACAGTGGACTGGGACTTGGGAACTGCTCACTCTCCTTCTTCAAAACAGGTGGGATGACCACTGTTCAGGCCCAGCAGGGGAACCCGGCCGGGCACTTGGGGGAGACCACAGGCTGCCACAGTGGCCAGAGCAGACGGGCAGACCCTGACCCCAGTCTCAGCGTCTCTCCAAAGTCTCCCAGAGGGCAGCTTCAAAACACACACATGCTGCGGGCAGGACACAGAAATCCAGCAGTGGGTCCTCAGGCCTGGACCACCCTTCCCTACTTCCAGGCTCCTTTCCCAGGCCCAGGGAGTTGGTCAGAACCACTAGCGCCCAGGCCTCAGCCTCAGCTGGCACGGCAGTGCCGCCCACAACCCCATCTGGTGCACCCAGGGTTTCGAAGCCAGGCCTGGTGCACAGAAACATTGGGGCAGCTGGCAGGTTTGGCAGTGCCTCTGCAGAGGGCGGGATGGTCTGTCAGGGGCTATAATCCCCCAAACCGGTCTATAGGGAGAGAAGCCCCCACCCCAGGCAGGGAGACGGGAGATGGGAGACATGGCAGGGGCATGGCAGGCACTCCAAGGGGCTCAGGCACCTGGTGCTGTGTCTGCGACTTGCAGCCCACGGCAAAAGTCTATAAAAGACTTGTGGTCCTTAACCTTGAACAGGCACGAGAAAAAGGCAATGCCATTACATCTGGGCAAGAATAAAATTCAAGCTAGCACGATGTCACTGCTAGCTCTGATGCCACTAACAGTGAGAAATAGAACAACTTAGAGGAAAAAAGCAAGTAAGAATACTTGAGGCATGCCCTCCACTGGAAGCAAGACACTTCCAAAGGAGGCAAGTCCCGCTGCACTGCTCAGGCCTTGTGGAGCTGAAGCCTGCTCCACTCATCTGGACGGAGGGGACCCATCCAGGGCCAGCCAGCCTGAGCCTCTGTGAGATCCCCAACACCCCTGTACTGGGTTTTCACAGGAAGCTGAACATGAGCCCAGTGAGCTGCAAGAACACGGCTCCTGAGGCATTTTTATGACGAATGTGACTTGTGTGTTCATGGATCCTCAAGTCCAAACCCCTCAGCAAAGACCAAATTCTATGGAGAATCTGCCTCATCCCCTGGCCCCCCGCCCATTCCCTTACCCCTCCCGGGCCCCTGGGTGCTCTGTGCTCTGCCCGGGTCTGCAGGGAACCTGAGGAACCAGAAGCCACACAGAGCAGAGGTTCCAGGTCCCATGAACAGGCAAGAGAGCCAGAGAGCTGCGGTGGGTGTGGGGGCAGGGGTGGGCCTGGGGCTCTGGGGAGCACAGCGGGGGCTCCGACAGGTAACTGTGGCGAGCACTGCTGGCTTCCTCTGGGGGAGAAGGTCATTCTGGTGCCCTCGAAGCTGCTCAGCAGTTCAGGAGCCATGGGAGGGGAGCATGGTTGGTCAGACAGAGACCCCTCCAACCTGGACGACCCACACTCGGCCATTTCCGGCTTTGGACATTAGCTGACAGGACGCAGTTGGGGCATCGAGGGTGACGCCATGTTTAGCTTCACCTGGTGCTGAGACCCATGAAGTAGGGGTGTTGGACTACTGGGGTGAGACCTGACCTGGAAACACAGGCGTGGCCAGACAGCCTCTCAGGGATGCAGGAACCTCACCTTGGGGAGACCGCAGACTGCCAGTTACGGGGAGCCTGCCCCACACCCCTCCCTCGGACCCACACCAGGGGTCTTGAGTCCTGGTGAGAGCCCTCCCTACTGCCCTGGAAGCGTCCAACAGCTCTGAATATCACAGATGACATCGTCCACCCCTCCCCTCCAGGCCCGTGGGTCTTGGGAAGGGACACACCAGAGCCTGTGTCTCTCCGGCCACTGGTGAAGGCAGTGACACCCCCTCTGAAACAGTGACTGGATTTCACCCACAGACCCCTGAGCCCAGAAATGCATCACCATTTAACCTATCTGATGCAACCAAAATAAATTTGCAGAAACTTCCATGGGCCACCGAGGACGTGAGTCAGACACAGTGGACTGGGACTTTCCCCCTGTCTCAGAAAATGGCCGGCAGGCTCCCTCCCCAAGTGGGGCGGGTGCAGTGAGAGCCCAGCTCTCAGAATCACAGGGCATCAGCTCAGGGTGGGAAATCCAGCCCACCCACAACTCCCAGGGTCATATGCAGTGATGGGCCAGCCCGAGGCGACACCATGCCAGAGCAGCTCAGTCAGTACTGACTCTCCGTAATCCTTAATTCTGAATGAAAGGCATAATTCTTTTAGGTTTTCTCTCACTGACAAGTAAAGCCTGAGGACGCAGAGTGAGAACGATTTTCAGACCACAGCACCGGGCCGTGAGGTCACGGAGGCGCTCTGTTCCAGCCCACAGGGCTCACCCCCGAGGCTGACCTGACCTGAGCACCACTCCTGAGCACGTTTTAGAGTGTCTTGTTAGCTGTCAACTGTACAACCTAAGGGCCTTCTGGGTAAGGCACTAGGCAGGCATGACGTGGCATGCGATTGAGCCTGAACATGCGTGATATGGCATGACTGAGGCGCAAGGGTGACACTCACCTCCAGCAGCAGCCTTCCCTCCAGCACAGCGGACCCTCCACGAGGATGACCGTCTCCTGGTGAGGGGGCACCGGCTGCCGCTTGCCGTGAGCACTGCTCCTGCACGGCTGTCAAAGAGAAACACACATCAGCCCTTCCCAAGTCCCCAGGTGGGCCCTCTTAAGTTATGTTTTCCTTGTGTTTCCCCAACTTTCAGCCCACGGCCCTTGCCAGATGTCCAGCCTGGGCCGCACTGCCCACCTCTGCAGGCCACGCCAGCTTCCATAGTATGACCACGGCACAGCCCAGCAGTCCCACATGGGGACAGGAGAAGCCAGGATGCCTCTCAGGGACGCAGGGGCCTCTCAGGTCAGCCAGAAGGGGTGGGGATACCAGGGTGTCAGCCCGAGCCCAATCCAAGAGCCAATCCCCCCACTGCTCAGGACTCCCTCCCAGCCTTGGGACAAAGTTCAGCTTCCTACCAGGTCCCCCACAGCCACCCCAGGGATCCTCGAAGCCCCTCTCCTGAGGCCCATCTCACTGCTAGGCCTTTGAGAACTAGTCCTGCCTGTTGCCTCCTCAAGGGCTGGGTGGGGCCCCTGTGTCCACCCAGGTCTCTGTGCCCTGCACCCCCCCACATCACCCCTCCCTCCTGAAGACCCTGAGGCCTCCGCGAGGAGCGTCAAACCAAGGTTATCGTGACTGCACAGGGCACTTGCATAGCAGAAAAAGGAAGGCCCTGGAAGCCCCCACCAGCATCACTCCCGTCCCCATCCCTGTGATGCAGCAGCCCCTGGGGCTGCCAACCTGACCCTGAGGCCCTGGGGACATCCTCTTTCCCAAGGATGGCACCGTTTGGCCACTTTGGGGTGGAGCTCAGGGCACCGTTCAATCCCTGCACAGACACTCACTCCACACTCAGGGTCATCAGAACATGGGAGATGTGGGTGGGAGCCCCCACCCCAGCCTCTGAGAGGACAACAGGACAGGGCATCTGGCAGCAGCTGGCCTAGATGCACAGACGCTGCTGGCACTGTGTCTCTGAGCAGGCTAGGGGAGCCCGCAGACCCCTCCCTCCTCAGATCCTCAGGCTGCCACCATGGGGGGGATGTGTGGCTCCTTTCCAAGGGCTTGAGGACCCAGGCTGCGTGATCCTTGCCACGGTCCTGACTTGAGACAACGTGGGTCATCACCGCACACGGTGCCCCAGTCACCAGCAGCTCCTTCCTTCGCACTGAGCAGGTCGCCCGACTCCTCCCACAAGGGCAGGCGGCTGGGAGGACGGCCTTGTCGAGCAGCCCTACTCCACAGACCTGTCCACTCATGTCAGAGAGACCCCAAGTGCCCCCAGCACAGCCCCCGAACACTCTCGCTCCCACTGAGCTGAGCTTAGACCCAGGTCACCTGGGCCGCTCCCCCATCAGCAAGAGCCCAACACAGACGGAAAACCACATTCATGAGGACCACAGACTTGCTAGAAAGTGCACCACTGTCTGTTTCTAGCCCATCACATTCCAAAACGTGACACTGCAGGGCACATCATTAAGAAATAGAATCAAGCCGGGCTCGGTGGCTCAGGCTGTAATCCCACGCCTTGGGAGGCTGAGGTGAGTGAGTTGCCTGAGCCCGCGGGTTCGAGACCCACCTGGGCAACTTGGCGAGACCTCATCTCTACAATAAATCAAAAAATCAGCCGGGCATGGTAGCGCACACCTGTAGTTCCAGCTACTTGGAAGGCTGAGCCCAGCAGGTCGAGGCTGCGGTGGCCGGTAGCAGCCACTGCACTCCAGTCTGGACGACAGAGTGAGACTCCAACTCAAAAACAAAACAAAACAAAACAAAAAAACAAAGAAACAGAATCACTGCCTGGATAAAAACTCTACAATTAATAACTCACTCAGGCTGGGTGAGGTTCCCTCCCTGTTTCTGGGTCGAGTGTCGGTTTGTTACCTGGGGAGCATTCGGACACATGAGCTGGGATCTCACTGTGATTCACCTCGCCCAGTCCTGCCTGGGTGCTCCCTCCTCGACGCCCACAAACTCATCCACTTGCACTGCCAACCCCCTCCTCGAGCTCCGATGGCCCCGTGGTCACAGACCAGCAGCCTCCACTCCCCCACGGGCTCGTCAGAAGGGCAGCCCCAGGCCCAGGCCCGGCATCCCTGCTGCAGCCCGGCTGATGTGTGCAGTCTGCGGTCGAGATGCTGTTCAACCCACCTGTCTCCAGGGCAGGCGAGGCCACTGTGGACAGAGACACCTCACCCTCACCCTGAGACTGGCTGCCCAGTGGGGCCAGCAACCCCTGATACCCCAGGAGGACGTGCTAGGGCCACTGATGCAGACCCTTGGGTGCCAGGTTGCAGGTGTGTGGGCAAGCCAGGTGACCATGAGCAAGGGCCCTGAGATGGGAGACGGCTGGCCCTCGGACAGCCCTGAGACAGTGGCTTTGGTCTCAGCCCCTCAGTTCCTCCTCAGAACCACCACCCCATCACCCTGAACCCACACATCCAATAAGTCCTGGATCTCTGTTCACCACCCTAAACACAACAAAACTTACCCCACCTCCTCTGCCAGAAAGCAGGTCTATGCAGAGGAAGCAGGAGCAGCCCACCTGAGGGTCCCTGGGCTGGGCAAGAGCTGAGCTGTCCAAGCACCCTCTCCCAACCACACAGCCCCAGAAGTCAAGCCCATTGCACCCAGGCAGTGAAGTTCCAGGCTTGGAGGTGTGGGGTCAGGAGACAAGGGGCGTTCACTCTTGTTTTACTCCCTCTTCAAAGTCCACTCTGTCCACTCAACGCCTACGTTATGGAGCTGAAAGAATTGACTCATTGAAACCAGCCACAAGAGAAGCCAGTGCCAACAAGCACCACCGATGTCCCCGGGACAGAAGCTTCCAGTTCCAGAATGCCCCAGAATGTGACCGTGAGCTTCGGACAGAATCCCATGTTCTCAGAGTGACCAGGGAGGAGATGCCCTATATGGGAGCCTGGGGCTGAGTCTGTGCCAGTGAGACTCGCCCCAAGTCCCCTCCCCGAGGCCCTACAAGGACACCACAGGGCCAGGGCAGGCAGGTTTTCCTGCCCACCCAGAGGGTCCTTCCCTGCTGCTGGGCCCTGGGAGCGGGGGCGGGAGGCCACACCACCACCCTTGGCAAGGAGTGTCAGTAGTGGAAGCCCACGAGGCTCAGGGCAGCTGAGCCGTGGATGGGAGGAGGGGTGGGCCCCCAACATGGAGGGCTAGGCCTGGTGGGGGTCAGGCTTGGAGGAGGAAGGCCCCGGCCTGGGGAGCAGCAGGGCCCCCACTGGAGCACAGCGGGGTCGCCTGGTTCGCAGACCCGACCCACCGAACCCCACGGCAGCGCCCCACCCCCAGAGCTGACCCTGCCC